GCTGCTCTCCGCTTTTGGCGTTGAACAATGACCACAAATCCACAAATATTCTCGTCGACGTCTTCACTTGGGAACCCGTCTGTCCGCCACTGGTCTTTCAAATAGCGGGTGTGCTAGCTTGGAGCTAGTGGCCACAACGACGAGCGCTCGTACGAGTAACGACACCCACAAGCCGCTCTCTCTCCGTATTATAAGAGTTATGACTCGTTATAACTTATGGGATTGTGTAGGGTTTGTCCAAGTGGCCCTGAGAGAAGAATGAGATGGTAAAGTCCGGTCCACTTCGGCTCCAATTCGTCCCCGCGTGCCCGCCAAAGTGCCATAAATATTACCGCGCTGTTTGGGCAGGCGGGTTGACGGGCTCGCTCGCAACTGGGCTCGGTGGTTGTCACAAGGCAGGCTGTTTTCGTTTCCCCGCGCGCAGGGCAATTCAAGGCTGTTGACAGGGGAAAAAAGCCACGACGCCAGCCGCGGCACAGGTTATCGAAAATGACGTCCATTGGCCGCCAGCGAGATGGCCACAGCTGCCTGACAAAGCCCAGCCCTCGGGGCTGGTTGAGGCCCGCAAGAGCTCGGGCGAGATCCCCATCCATCCGACAAATTACCCTGCCCATTTTCCTTCCCCATGCGGGGTAACAGCTGGTCCTAGCAGTTGGCAGATCTTGAGATGGGTGCCAAGCTGAATTGTGCGAGTCAGATTGGTGCTGGAAGAGTCGGCTGTGTCAAGCGACGAGCGACAAACGGGTAATTTTCTTGCTTCATCCTGTAGCTACGTACGGATTACTGTCAGTTGTTTTTTTTGAACGAGTAATTTTCTCTTCTACCCTGTATTTTTACACATATAACTGTTCTTGGTTATAGGCTGAAATAGCCAGGAGGTCAGTTTACCTCCTCCGAAACCATGGAGCGTCTGTGTGTTCTTGCAGCTGCACGCCCTAAAGACTCCCCTTGACTCCCCTTGACTCCCCTTACAGCTGGAGGGTCCAGGCCTCGGCTGCCCCAGACCCGCTGAGCCGCTGGCAAGGCCGGCGCCCGCCACAACTGCCCGTCCACTGAAGAGCACTGTAATTCTAAATTTTTTTTCACTGCCCAGGCGTGAGCGGCCACAATACCACGCTGCCACGCTGCCTCGCTGCTCAGTGTCGTGAGTGCCCACTCACACCTCTCGGCCGCCCCGCTCCACAGCCACTGTTGTCTGCATGCATAATCCACCTGCATGCAGCATGCATTAATCAACACCCCTCCCCCCCTACCCCCCTACCATAATAACCATGTTCGCTTTGGTCGCGCATCTCGCCCAGTGCCTTTTTTTTTTTACTTGCAATTCATCAGCTCGCGCACTTTCTCTATTTTGTACGGAGTAATTACCTATACATTTCCCCTCGTCTATTGCGGCCCTTGTATCCCCAGATTTGCAGTTTTTTCCTGGTTCTACTCCCCGCACTGCAATTGAACCCACGTCCACCGAAACGTGCTCGATTGGTGCTTCTGTAACTAGAGTTTACTTTATAGGTACCCCTCCATCTTTTTAGGTAATTATTAACACAGTACAGCAGCAGACCGGTACAAGGTACCTACCTCCACCTGCGTACGGGCCTATCTACCTGCGTGCAGCCTACCTCCACAACACCTCCCCCCTCCCCCAGCTTACTACTCCCACTCGCAAGCACACCTCTGCCTTTGCATCATCTCAATTGATCCGAAAAGGCATTGACTACGCGGGAAACAACGTCGCTTCACCATGGCGTCCGCGTTCAGGGAAGAGCATCACGACTCTGATGTCGATTCCTACCACGCCACAACTCACCACGCCACCACTGCCCGTGTCGCTGGCGCCAACGGACGTGGCAATGACCATGCCGGCCAGACACTAGACGGCGATGAGATGCCTCCTTTGGAAAATGCATCGACTGCTGACACCAACGACCATATCATCAGCAAGAACAACCCTCGCCGAGAGATCACTCGGGAGAAGATCGCCACGGCAGCCAAACAGGGGAAAACATGGAGTGTTGCCCATATCAAACACAAATGGAAGTGGTATCTCTTGGGAACCATCATCTTCCTTGCCATTCTGCTGCCCATTATGTAAGTTTGCTCATTCCGCCTCCAGGCTCTCTTTGACTTGATACCTTGCTGACTCTCACCACAGCTTCACCGTAGCGCTACCCGCTATTGTCCAGCTTATTGTCAACCAGCAGACACTCCCGATTAGAAGCGGCGTCCTCAACGTTATTGCACCAGACGCCCTCAAGATCACCCTGGACAGCTCTTTTCGCACTCCCCCTGGTCTCAAAGCAAAGACCAATGAATTTGTTCTGGAACTCTACGACAAAAGCGCCCCCCAGTTTGACCCCTTTCTGTCCGTCGAAGTGCCCCCTTTGGATCTCAAAGGCGGCAACACCAACTTTAGCATCAAAGACCAGGAACAGAAAATTACAAATCTCGAGTCCTTAACCTCATGGTTCAGCGGGTTCTATGATGCCCCGGGCGAGTACGACCTCAGCGTCCGTGGTACCGAGGCTGTTATTTCTCTTGGTGCCCTCAAGTCGCATCCTCGTCTTGACAAGACCATCAAGCTGCAGGGTCTTAATAAACTTCAAGGCATTGAAATGCGAAAGCTTAACTTTCTCTTCCCAACCCAAAATGGCATCAACCTGAGGGGTGATCTCATGCTTCCCAACGTCAGCCCCCTTGCCCTAACTTTTGGGGACATCACACTGGGTATCGCCTCGGGCGACATGAAGCTCGGCGAGCTCACCTTGGCGGGCATTACCATTGAGCCTGGCAACCATACCCAGTCATTTGAGGGCTTCATTGACCTCAATGTCATTCTTGGAAACCTCAGCGGCTTCCTTGGCAGCCAATCTCGACCCCTGGGTGAAGGTGTTGTGCAGCTCAACGCCACGGCCACCAAGATCGTGGTCAACGGAGACCAGCACATCACATTTTTGGAAGAGGTTTTGGGGAAACGGCCACTGACAGTCAACATTTCCGTCGTCACTCTACTAAGTGACATTCTCAGCGGTCTACTCAAGGGCGGCGGTGCCATTACTGGCGACGGTCCGAGCAACGGCACTGACTTCATCAACGCCTTGTCTGGTGTCTTTGCCAACCAGACGCTCCTTGGCAGCATTGCCGGCCACTGGAGCAAACATAAGTCGCGCGGTATCGACTCTGGCCTGGAAACACGCTCCTTATTGGGCGACAACGCAATGTGGAACATGGTCAAGCTCGGACTCAAGCTTAAGGCTATGCAGAAGAAGTAATGGTCGACCCATCTTTTGACGGGCGTTTTGGTCTTTACTGGTTTGATCAATTTGCGTTTACATATTTTCCATTTACTCTTGTTTTTTTCTTTTTTCTTTTTGCATAAAAGGGCCCGTATTGTTTATATAAGTTGAATGGCCACGGAAGATATCAATATTGTTAGAGAATCTTAATGATGATGATTTACGCATCTTGCTACTTAGCCTGTCTTGTTTTGTAACCCACTAGTCTGCCTTCTCTCGTACATTATCAACTTGCCTTTCTTTTCAACCTGTTAATTTGCCTCGTATTGTAAATCATCGTCTGTTCTATTGTAAATCATCAAACTGTCTTGTTTCACCTCTCATCAGTCTGTCTTCCTTGAAGCTCATCAGTCTGCGTTTCCTGTTGAATTGAACGTCATGTTTCATTTTGCGCCATGTCTCGGTCATTAGTGTATAGTGTCTTGCCTGGTTCATTGTTCTCGTCTTCTAGTGCAAGGCGGCCGCTCACACAAATTTGACAGTCCCAAGACAACCCCATGCCATTGTCAGCTCATCACATCTTTCCTCTTTGGGTACACTGCATATACGTATTCTGCCCACCTACCGAATCGGTTCCTTGTCTCTCCCACATCACCATGTGAAGCCGAGTCGCGTTACAGCACACCCCCCCCCTCCTCCTCCTCCACCACCACCGCCGCCGCTACAACTACCAACGCAAGCCTAACGCAGACTAATAAAGGAGACCATCAATGCCTGTTTAGTATACTCCCTCCGGACCGTTACAAGGGTAAATCCTAGTTAACTTGTTTGCTATTGCCGTGCCAGGGTTCACTTTAGACCGCGGTCGAGATTAATCAGTTGTCGCCCTGGGGGCTGAAAAAAACTGGGCGGTATCGTGCTTCTGTCACGTCGACGGCCGACGCGGAAATTACAATTCGGCTCTAGATCATTACATTCTTACTAGTCACATGAATACATACTGTATGGAGTAGCCGGGATGGGGAATCTTGTTGGCCATGGATAAAGACGACCCCAAGGAATACAGCGAACAACGGGTAAACATTTGGGTAGGATGGGAAAGTGTGCATCGACGGCGTTGTCGGCCACGTTGGGTGTCTAGGTGGCTAGCTGCTTCTGCTCTCTATATTTCTTTCCCTCTATATGTCTTCTCCTTTCGGTCGCTATAGCCAGTATTTGGCAAGATCGGCCGCCTCGGCATGCCACTTGAGGAAGTGTTGCCGTGTTCCCCATCCACCAGCCGGACAATCCGACCTGCAAGAAAAATGACGCCTTGAGATGGAAGATGGCACAAATTCGTATTGTTTTGTCCCCGAAGCAGATTCTATCCCTTTCTTGATTGTGAGACTGCCGCATCGAAGTAAATGGCTGTAATGAAAAGATCACTTTGGATCCGTCCTCGCCAGCGGCCACGGCCACTGGCCACATTTTGAGGCTGGCGCAACTGGACATTTTTCGCCTGTATATAGCGGGATTGCTAATCAATTCGTTTGTTTATCAGGCATCAGCGATCAACAAAAGAAAAGAAACTGCGAATGTCAGGTCGGTCTATATTATTCATGTACTCCGTATATTACGCCGAATGACTCGTCGGAGCCTTGCCGTATCTCTAACTGTTTATTCACTAACTGAGATACAGGGGGATAATCCCCCAGAAAACCAAGCAAACACCCCTTTACTCTGCTTGTTGCGTTAAAAAGAAATGCATTGAGAAATTACAAAAAGATTTGCCGCAGCGAGGACTCGAACCTCGGTTTCCAGTGGTTCGCGGTGTTGTACACTCCACAAACTAGTGTCCTGACCCCTAGACGACTGTGGCCAATGAAACGCTGTCCATGTCGGTCTAATCTGTATATTAGATCCCTCGGCTGCCCGCGTCTTTCCAGGTAACATTTTTTGCATGTGGAATCCTCATTTCTATTGATATTCTATATCTTTTTTTTTTTTTTGTTTTTTTTTTTCGTGTTTCCTCTTCGTTGTGGAACCACGCAGGCAGACGTGCGCCCTACGCCCAACACATTTCAACATCACCACCTTGCCTTTTTCCGACCAGGGTGAGGATTACGCCGGCTCCTTATCCTTATCGCAGCACAGCGCAGACAGCCAAGAAATTTTTTTTTAGCCAAAAATACGACAACCAATAGCCAATAGCCAAACACCAATAAATATTAGGCGTCACCCCGACTTTTTCCTTCCCCTAGCCCTTTCCCTCCCCGTCACGCCCCCATGGGGCCCCGCGGGGTAATTGCACAAATACAACCGTCTCTTTGCGGGGCAAGACATGCCGTGTGACCTTTAGACTGACCACTAGCCACCCCCCTAGAGCCTCATTGTCAGCACCCTGTCGCCCAACCCTTCTTTGTCGGGCGCCGCCACTTCTCCCGCGCTTTTGGTGGCTTGGAAAAAGAAGAAGAATCTGTCCCAGTCGGCGGGATTGACAGATGCATAGATGCGCCGGCTCTCCGTTCCGGCTCGCGCGATGCCCTGCTCGAACAATGGTAAGCTCTCAACTGCGCGCTTTTTCTCACGGGATTTTCTTCTTCTTTTTTTTTTTTTGAATTTAATCATGAAAATACCCCATGGCCCATCTGCCAAAAAGGTGATGGAACGTACTATTATCGACAGCGTTGATAATATCACGGCACTTTGCACAAGAGACACCAGAGAACAGATTCAACGGGGCCGCCACCCAGCACCAACAGACGCGTGTGGCTTCATCGTATCGTCGCACTTCCCTGCGCCCTCATTTCCAAGGCTGCAGGAGGCGGTGGCCTCTTTATTACGCCTCCGTCGTCAGCCATGTGGGCGAGCTGCCGCTTGCCCTGTCAAGCCACGTTTGCACCCCCCCTCCCCCTCCCTCCTTCTCATCACGATGATGACCCCAAGGGAGGCTCTGCTCTGTGTCGCCTACATGTTGCGGTTATATGTGAGTATTTGGAGAAGGCGGGCCAGCTCATAGGCTGTTTCGTCCGCCGTGTGCTGGGTTGTGAACTGCTCATGGTTTGCAAAGAAACGCTGGCTGTAATCATCCATGTAGTTGAAATTTCCCCAGGTTCGAGATTGCTAATCTATCAGATAACAACAAGTGCCGGATTCGTCCAGCGGAGGATAAGCGAGCCCCGTTTCCCCAGGAAATATCATCGAGAGACTTTGGCCCATCGCTATGGTCACGATGTCGTGCTTACCCAACAGCCGGGCGTTGGTTTTCTACCCTTTCCCTCCCCCCATGTTTCCTGGATTCTTTATTAGCCCCCACATTGCCACTCGCGCATCCCCCATCTTGCTTTTCCCCGCGCCAACCGACAGCTACTAATACCATGCGGCAGCGTGGTCATGGCGAGGATTATGCTTTGATGATCCACGGTTTGCCGGGCAGGGGTGGGAAGGGTGTGCAGCGCTACTTCGTATGCATGCAAAAGGCTCTATGCATGCAACAAGCTTCGGAGAATGGAAAGAGGGGAAGCTGCTACGCAAACCGAGGCTCTTTAGTGGGCTCTCGTCGTCTTTCCCCGCGCGACGCTATTCGCAAACGTCTGTGCAAAATACCTTCACGTATTTTTCTTCCTCGCTCCCCTCCATCCCCCACTCTTCACTTCGAAATATCCAATAAAAGTGCTTAATCAATCTTGTTTCTGCCAGAGTTGTTTCTTGCTTTTTTGTTTTATGCCGCGGTGGCAAATGGCGGGGAAAAGCTCCATGTAGGGGGGGTGTAGCCAGAAAAGGAACAAGTCCCTGCGTAGGTTTACGCTTGCACTGCCGAGTATCAGGTAAGCGCAATTGCGGCAGAAAAATTTTTCGTTTTAGTGAATCGTCCGACACAGGTCCATAACAGGCTTCCAGCACGGCTATTTAGACTACGGGTTGTGGCGGTCTTGAAAAGCCTGGGTAACGGCTGCCTCACGAGTTGTCTCGGTCCATGACATTCGACGTAAGCAGTAGTTACCCAACAACGGTTTCTCACCCAGCTTGACACTTATTGTCCCCAAGAAGCGCGTAGGAAGTCTTTGAATCTATGATTGAGCGGAAGCCAGGCTGTGTACTAACCCTTGTAAACTCAATTTTGTAATTCTGGCACGTACTACAGCTGCGCCTGCAAGCGATGTGACGAGCCGAGGCGTAGAAGAGTCCATATGACATTACCTATCGTATCGTAAGAGTCATCGGCGTGATTACAGTAAAAGTTGGTTCAAGTTCAGCTTCTTCTCCTGAAATTATGTCAACGTTAATATGTTGTCTGCCGATCGCATCGTTCTTGGCAGCTACGAGAGCTCTTCGCCGAAGAACTGCCTCAACAAGGAGACGTCTGAGGAATTGGGCCACTGATCGTCGCTCAAAACACTTATTAGATTCTCATCATATTATAAACTAAGGGCAGGTCTTGAACATCTTTCATCAGACTTGGCGACCGCGGAATGCGCGGTGAGTCCGTATTTGTGTCGTCTCCGCAGCCCCAGTGGCCGCAGACGCAAGATTCCTCAGCTCGTGGCAAACAAAACAAAGGCCTTTTAAGCTTTCTCAGTCGTGTTTGCACTCACTCGCCATTGTGTTTAATTGGCCTTATTCTCATGGGCCACACGTCATTGTTTATTATGCAGTTGCCACTTTCCAGCCTCCCCAGATAAATAGTCTTGGCTTGATCACGTTCGGCTCTCTCTGCCGTGACTGACGATTCCTCCGCGAGAACTCACTGTGCCAACTCTCTTTTCCTCGCTCACAGTCGCATTCATAGCATCGGTCGTCGTCCTAGATGTGGAGAGCTTGTGAACACAATTGAAGAAGAGCAAGAAATCCGAGCGGGGTCAACACTGCCCCAATCTGACGGCTCATTGTCCCAAGGAGCAACATCTCAGCTATGACTTGTGAATATCTTGTAGATTGCGTCGGTAGAAGCACCAGGTCTGTATCCTCTTGGACTTGATAGCAGAAGGAGATATGTGTCGGTATGCCTGGGCAGATATTCGTGCAAATGTGAGCTCCGCCATCTGTATTCTCCAAAGACGAACAGCTCGTCTTGATGTTGCATTTCCCGCCCCCTTTTTCCGTTGCTTTTTAATCGCTCATGATGGTCGGATATCCTGCTAGTGGCCACTTTCGTAAGAAATTGGAAGCAGGTGTGCCAGGACAGCGACTATCAGTGTCTACCACGCATAGGTGCTTGTATCACTGCGACTACACTTTCTTATTCCTGGCTCTGGAAGGTGTTTGATGTGAGTTTATGAATAATTTCTGGGCTCTATTAGCTTACTGCCTCGCAAGGTGCCTGCTCTATCATTAGTTGACAATATCACAAGGTCAACTTTCGATCACAACCATCACACTGGGAACGCCGCCTCTGAGTGGTTTTCGAGAAAATAATTGCCATTCCCTCTTCCCTTCTTTCACGTAGCAATGTTAACTCCTGTATCTGCGCTTGTAATGCCCACACTAGTCGCCGCACTTCTGCGTACGAGAGTGAGCTTGGACATCCAGTGCAGGGTAGCCGACAGTCGACCAAGATGAAGTCCCCAGAGCCTCCGTTCGGTGCCTATGCTCCTGTTGAAGCTCACGGAGACGTGTTTTCTACATATTTTTGAATGTAAAGGCAAGGATCGTCTTGAGAAGATGGATGACCGAGAAACGAATAATCAAGCAACATAAGAAATTGTCGTCGTTGAGGAGTGGCAAGCACCCATGTCACGATGGGCACTGCCACTGGTGAAGCACTCACGAACGCCCTTCAAAGCCGTTACATTTTGTAACTACAAGACAATAGCAGTTGCCCCCAATCAACTAATTAGTGCTTGTCTCTCTCATGCTTGGCAAGTTTATCAGATCGAGAGTAAGCCTTTGTGCATCCCTTATGCTTGCACTTGTACACGGTCTTTTCCTCCTCGGGCAAGTGCACCTGCATGTGTCTGTCCAATTCGCGCTGCTCTGCCGAACGAAACTTGCAATCCGCATAATAAGCACACTTCAAGGGCTTGACGTGTTTCTTGACGTGTTTCCTGCGATATTATCAGTGTGTATTCATGAAGCACGGTGGCTGGCATCGCTTTGCTTACTGGAGCAGGCTCCGTATCTCAAAGCTCTCGTTGCATTCGGAGAATGGGCAGTAAAATCGCCCGTCTTTCTCATAAGGCAAAATTTGATTGACAGAAGGGAATTGTTCTTGCTCATATCTCACAAGAATGGGTGCGATGGCCGTTGAAGAACCTTGGCCGACATCGACGCTCGTTGAGCTCAGGTTCTGGTGAGCAGAATGTGGTTGCATTCGCATACTTGCCTCAGGTTGAGAAGTATACGAGTATTGCTCCGATGTAGCACTCTATTGATGCATCATCCCTGGGTGCGAATACAAAACATTCTCTGTTGCGAGCTCGCCGGTCGTGAGATTGTCGGCTTGTGCCTGCGGGTGCTGAGCTGACAGCAGCGCTGGATCAATGAAGTCACCGTCTTTCAAGAGTCAATATCAGAACATGAAGGGATTTGTTACGCCTTTTTTCACCATATATAGCGTCGTCTGACATGTTTACTGCCAGCGCATCTGCACCCGTAGGGCAATTGTCGGCTCTGCTGCTGCGAGAACTCATCGAAAGCAGTTCTGAGGTAAAGTCAAGCAAAGAAATGTTTGGTACATGGTCAAATAAAGCATCTTTATATCCATCAACAGCTATCACTAAAAGTCTTTGTCTCATCCTGCGGTGGCCGGCCACTAATGCAAGCCTGCAGATTAGGCATCCAGCCAAGCCCAAACAATAGCCAACACTTTTCAGCTCTCATCAAGGTGTACACCTTCCTCAAAACTAATAAGACCCGAGGCATTATCTCTTTGTCAAGTTT